CTCAAGACTACTGGCTCTTTATGAAGGCATATGAATAATACATGTACAGCATCTACAAGTACTGGATGCTGCCTGTTTATTTTAGAGAAGTGTATTAATGAATCAATTATTTATAATTAGTTGTATAGGATGACTAATGCCATATGTAACATTACTTAATGAAACCCTTAATGATAATAATTATAAAAAGGACAATGTAAGTCACAAAACAGGAAAGATACTGGAGGCTCATGAAGTGGTGAATATAGTTCTACTCTAGTGCAGCCTACTGAATGAACAGCATGTAAAAATTCCCCGAACACCAAAAAGCAATAAAATATGTAGGCTTTTTTATCTCCTACCAGAGCTGGAAATTTAGGTTTCTTTTTAGATGATCTTGGTGATAGCATACAGACAAGATGCTATTCTAGGAGATACAAAGAACAGGCTTTAAGAGGAGGAATTTGTTATATCTTATTTTCTTTTTCTGCTTGTAAAAAGTGTGTACTGTCATAATTTTCCTTGATTTTATTCATTATACATTGGGCACTTCATGCTTATTTTTTCTTACATTTTGTCCAAGCTATGTACATGTGTTGCCATTCTTTGTACCTCTAACTCTGTGGTTTTATTACTCTAGCAAGTATAAATTTATCAATCAATTCTGCAATTGTAGTAAACCTTTTTAGATGCTTGTGACTATTTCTGCTGTTATGTGCTCACGTAAATAATATAAATATCTGCTCAAATATTGTGACACTGATCATTAACAAAGACCTTGTAGCTTATTATAAAACTGTAATAAGTCTACTGGCTTGTACTTGTAAAAGTATTTGCATGGCTTTTAGTCCAGTTGAGGGTAAAATGCTGTTGTTTGCATCTTCCATGTTCATGTGCTTACAGCTGCTACTAATGAAATGGTCATAAGATGTTGCTACCTGTATGATAAGCTTAGTGGCGTAGTTCTGCGTATGTTTTGTATACAGCAGAGAAGGTTGTGCAAATACTGTTATTATTTTAAGATTAATGTAAATGGTCTTTCAGAGATCTTTTTTTATATACTGAGAAGCTAAAAGGAACTGCTGGGAGTGTATTAAGGTCAGGATCCTTCTCACCCAGTCTGAGACATTTACAGTGGAGATTTTTGGAACTTAATTGATTGCCCAAGACCCTTTATCATCATTGGAGAGGAACTGGTGGCTTTGGGGCATGCTTATTCTTAACTGCTTTTGGAAAAGTGGAATCACGTCCTAGGATACCTGGACTCCTTTGATTTTACCTGCATTGATGATAAGGATAACTGTATCTAGATTTAGTGAGATAAGCCCTGTAGATGGTGAGGTCCCATAATGCAGTCCTCAGAAGCCTCAGCTCTGCCTTTGCACACGCCTGGATGGCTGCCATCCTGGTGGGTCTGGTGAGCCTCTGATGTGTGAGTGGAACTGGCTGTATTTCCAAGCCTAAGAGGGGACTCTGAGGCATATTTAATGCATACAGGGAAAACTGACGTCTTGACATAGAAACAGTCCATTTCATTAAAAGTCAAAAGAAGCAGGCTTCTTTCTCCAGAAAGGAGAATTCCCTTGGAGTATTAGGAGCACAGATGACTGCTCTCTGTGCAAGGTGGTTCACATCCACGTATCCTGCTACATCTGCACATGGGCGGTAAGCTCTCCTGCAGTGGAAGGACCCTTAAAACTGTGTCACTTGACAGTAAACTGGACCAAACGAAATAAAATTTGATCTAAGATTATGAACCTCCCTTGATGAGGGGAGTCCTATGCTGCTGCCCTGCTATTAGAACTGTTTGAATGTAAGAACTGTATATGAATGCAGTGTTCAGTGTGTTTGTTCCAATGTGTTCCTTCTCCCACATAGAAGATTTAATTTAACTGCTTCACTATAAAATGTGCTCCTTACTGTTTCCCTCTCACCAATGCATTCTCCCAGGCTGAAGAAGATTAGGCTGTACATAAGCCTTGGGCTGTCATTCTGCACCACAGAGGATGTTGAAAGTAGATCTTTTTTACTGTTTGCCTTTATCTCTCTTGGTGGGGCATGCCTTTTGGCACTCAGAATGGCAATTATTAGAAATTTATTCCCAGTAATGAATATAGTGTTAGCTGCATGGTTGATGTCAAGTAGAGTGCCAAGTATGCTTGCCTCCTTGCTCACTCCTGACTTGCTGACACCTGGGAAGGGTGGTGTTCAGTTTGTGCTAAAATTGTAACTAGCCAGTTTGAAGGTTGGTAAGCTGTTTGGGGGGGCTAAGGCATGACTATGATATATATTCAGGATGAAAGAAACTTGAGATTAATTTCTTCCTATAACTCAGCTCTGGCAACATTCTTTGAAGAAAATTTAATACATCATCTCTCTTGTATGTAAGATCTGTTTTGTTAAAAATAGGGCAAAGTTATAATAGGATTTGATCACCCTGACTGGAGTATTGTAAAGAAGGGGCCAGGCACAAAACTGCTGATGCTCAAATCAGGGGGAACGCTAGTTAGCTTCCCTGACATCAAGGGAACGAATTTTTAGAAAGCCATTCATGGATATCTGACAAACAGCTTGAAAGAGATGCCAAACCCTCAGGGTTTCTGTCATAAGCCTTAAAACGCATTTGCATATTTTTTGCATAGAAACAGGAGCTCTCTCTCTGTTGCCAAACTGCAGAACTAAAAGGATGCAAAATCTCTACCTAGTCCAAAGGGCTGTGAGGGGCAACTTCATAATCAGAATTCAAATGTGTGCAACAGATTAGGAAAATTATTTCAGCCGTAGGGATCCCCCAAAAGGGATTTCTGCCATATCTGAGAGAGACCCGCAAGACCTGAGCAGATTGGTAAGCAAAATACTACCTGCACTGCCATTAAAAAGCTTGCTTTCTTCCCCAGGCATTTCTCATGTGAAAATAGCTTACTGATGTCAATGGACCACACAGATTAATGTTTAAGGTGCTACTGCTTAGTTTTCTTGGTATCAAATGCACTTTTTTCTGTCAGTTTTGATTTATCTTTTTCAACTTGAAAATGATATAATCATAAATAGAACCAGAGTGAGAGAGAAATGAAATTATGTTCCTCCTCATACAGCCAGTGCACCCTGTGGTCCAGTTTCTTGGGAGTTTAATGTCCTTCCTAGCAATTCCATTTACTGTGAATTGTCGTGGATTGAACCAGGAATCCCCGGGCCTTGAAAGGACTGCAGGGCACAGGAGAGGCAGCTCTGTTGAAGTGCAGAATCTATGACAATGTGAGCTGGACTGGTTTAACTCCCATCGAAGGGCTTCAGCTGGGAGTTTGCTGGGAAGTGTTAGCATCTGTGGTATGGTCCACACACAAATACAGGTGCACTGGCCCCTTTGACATCCCTCATGCTGCTCTTTTTTGTACCATTTTCATTAATTGGTTTCCTTTTCTGATTTCAAGTATTATTCTTTTCTTCCATTAAATGAAAATGCTTGCAAGGACAACAAAGCATTGTGCTTTTATCGTTCTGAGGAGAAAGCTGATGACTGTGGAGGAATTCATGATGGGTGAAAGCGCCATATAATTTTTAGCATATAAATTCACTCTCTGGTCACCCACCCACCCAGGCAGTCATGTGGGTGGAGTTCTCATCATATTAGCAGAGAGTTGCCATTTAAATTTCCTATGCATCAAGCAAACAATAGACTGCCATTGCATATACATGGCACTGCCATTGATCTGATTGATTTTGGATTGCAGTGGTGCATGTGGTCAGTGATGTGTGAATAAATAGGAAAGGCACAGTTAACTCTTTTAATGAATGTCTCTGTTAGTCAGGACTGTCTTTGAAATAAAGTGCTAATCAGAAAATCAGTATTGATACAGTTAGATGACAGCCTGTAATGATTATGAATTTAGAAAAGAAATTACGTATCTGTGACTTGAATTACAGATTTGTACATGAGTGGGGTTTCAAAACTGTAGAAAAAGTTTGGTATCCTATGTTCTTTAGAGATCTGGCTGCATTTCTGTATTATATGACTGTTTATGTCTTTACTTGTCATTTTCAAGGCTCACGTAACAGTTACTAGGTGGACAAAGATTTAAAACAGAGTGTACATGGCTTCACATCACAATCCTACAGAGAACTGTGTTTAAGACTAAACGGAGAGGAGGTCTTTCAGTAGCTCAGAAGAAATGCTTTTGTCAAGTTTGTGTGGTTGGAGTCAAATCAGGAATACTGGGCATGTCTCCTGCCTCTTGGAAAGATGATCCGAGCATGAGACTGTTGACAGAGCAATGTGCCACTTTGTTAAAGAGAAGCTCAGGTTTGCTCGGTCTGGTTTTGTAGCTTGCCTGCAGCTTTTTGGGGGAATGGCTCAGCTTTCCCTGGAAAGAGTAGAGGATATTCCTGAGCAGGATAGGCCCTAGCTTGGTGAGGGTCCTCCCCAGAGGGGTGAATATGTGAAGGATATTGGGACCAAGCTGGTGGTCTGTGTGGAACTGTATCAGTGAAACTGGGGGGATCCTGGGATGACAGCCCTTCAAGCCACCTGCTGAAGCAAAAGCTGTCATATTTCCAATTGCAAGTGAAATTATTACTTGTCTAAGATGTATGGGGCTGTTTGGGGCAGATCTCATTCTTGTACTTCAAATTGAAATCCATTTGTGGATCTGGGTCCTACAGCCTGCAGAGCTGCTGAAGCCGACGAAAATCAAAAGCTTCAGTGTGTAAAAGCATTAAAGCATTATTTTGAACAGCAGACAAAAATGGTTTTGCTTCACATAGGTATTTTTCTAAGATAATTTGAAAATATATTCCATGATCGGTGATATTCTAGTCTAATTTCTTGAAATAAAAATTGTGGAACAAATATTCTGCTTTCTACAATGTCAGTATAGTCCAAGGGCCGGTGTTTCTATAGAAATGTATTTGTAGCAATTTTAGAAGTGCTATTTTTGATATAATTAAGTATCTTCTTTTCAGTAAATAAGGAAAATATTTATTTCTGTTTTCACCTTGGTTTCCATAATTTTGTTTCCAGCAGAGTAAAAATGTCAGACAAAAGTGATTTAAAAGCGGAACTTGAGCGCAAAAAGCAGCGTTTGGCTCAGATAAGAGAAGAAAAGAAACGGAAGGAGGAGGAAAGGAAGAAGAAAGAGGTAAACATGCAGGAGTGCCTTTTAGGTAGCTCATGTTTGCAGAAGGGGCTTGATCAGGTTTTGACGTCTTGGTATTCTATACCCTAAGGTATCTGTCATGTGGAATGAGATCTTCAAAACCACATCAGTCTAACCTTATATCAAAATGCTTATTTTTAGTCAAGAAAGTTGGAGTGAGGGAATTGCTTTTAAAACCAATGGACTGTCAGATGACAACAGTTTAGACAACATGATGTATACGCGTGTGTAGAAAGAAAAATTGATTTGCCTTTTTCCTAGCCTCTCCTTCAATGGAAAGGGAGTGGAGAGTGGGGAAAGGCAGAAAGAGGGCTCACGTTTTTTTCAAGCCATTATAATCTAAATATGTATTTTTGTACTCTGAAGGCTAGTTTGATTACTAGCTAAGGTAACAGATTTACAATTATTATTCTCCACCAAAGTAAAACATAATTGCAATGGCATTTTCATCTTCTGGCATGGGTGCATCTTTCAGTTCTGTTAAAGTTTGATTGACATATTAGTTTATTTGTCCTTGACAATATGCATTAGGTTTTTCATTAAGGGATTTGTACTTCTTTTTATTCAGTCACTTAGTGGAATAGAGGTGAGAATTGACAGGGAGTGGATATTCATTTTCATGCAAAGTCAGAGAAGCATTAAGTGATTATGTTTCCTTTCCTTCAAATGTCAACACTTACTATAGTTTAAAGCACCTGTTATCCTTTACTAATAACTGGTTTCCTTTTAAACTGACACTTTAATATTGTACATGAATTTCATGGAATTACTGTGGAAATGTGATGTGATCCAAGAAATCAGTGCTCTAGTTTTGGCTGTCTTTTTAATCTTTGTTCATTTGAGCCATTTTTGTGCAATTACCAGCCCACCCCCCGTGAGGCTCCTGGAGTCACTGGGGGAGTCCAATGTAAGCAGAACTTTAAACGTTAACATTTTCAATGTTCATTACTAGCCTGATAATGAATTAGAGGGAAAGGAGCCAAGCTAATGGATCAAGGAAGCTATTAAGTCCTTTCCTTTGTCCCCTGCCTCTGATTTTATGCCTCATGGAGATCTTGTGGTTGCTGGAACTCTCCACTGGCCCTGATAGCCAGATCCAGCCTGGGACACCCAGCTCTGCAGGTTATGCTGCAGTGCCTAACTGTGGCATTGTAAATGTGGTGCACTGGGATGTCTAATTGCCTCCAGGAATGAAGTCTAGCATTCACTTAAGTGCTTAGCCATGTACACTGGTGCAGAAGAGTTGTCTATCACCCTCTGTACTGAGATACTTCCGGCTACCTCATGGGAAGAGCTGAGCACAAGGATATGCCTGAACTTCGTGTCTAAAAGCAATGTTCTTCTGCATCCTGGCCATGTCCAAACTGGAGTACATGGGGATGCTTCTGAACCACAAGGTTTTCTGTTGTGTCTGCACCAACACCAACTCCAGGCTGAGGCACTGTGCCAGTCTCCTGTGCCCCACACTCTGGTTTTCAGAACGGAAAAAAATCTCTGTATGGAGGTTAGATAGGATCATCTGATTTAGAAGCTGATGCTATCTAACCTATGTTCCAAAGTACAGAGGCAGACACCTCCAACATTCTCTGTAAGGGCTATGCAAGAACTGCTGTAGTTGACATGACAAAATGATAGACACGACCACTTGCATTTTGTTTTACTTGTATTACTGGTTACTGCACTAGACCACAAAGTGAGATATGGGTTCAGTTTCCTCATCTGCTTGGGAGAAAGGCTACAAACCTGTTTTTTAAAATGGGATGCTCTAACCACTAGACAGGAGTATTGGTGTTTTCCTTCCACCCTACTAAATTGGGGAAGGATAAGCCATATATAACGGATTCTGGCTAATGCAGATGTTGCTCCTCCTGTTTCTAGGTCCCAGTAGACCAGAGCGGGAGGAGTCTAATGTGTGGAAGCTCCAAGGAGGTACAGATATCAAAGTAAAGAGGGAGGGGTCTTGTGGACCATTAGTTTTGGCTGTTGGTGCCCAGAGCTGCCAAAATCATATTTTAGACACATTAGTCCTTTCCTTTTCTTCTGTTAGATGCTGAAGTTTATGAGAAAGTATTTTTATGGTTAACATGTGCTCGGAAGCAAATGTGGGCCCTTAAGCTACATCACTGAAGCCCAATGAAATTTTATTTCTTGATCCTGGAGGAAGTAGGAAGGGGCCATTTTTATTCAGGGTAATGATATCCGTTACTTTATGGGCAGCTTTTACATTAAGCTGAATAAGTTGCATCTGATGAATGAGAGGCAGATTTCCATTCATTTGCTATAAAAATCCTTGCAAATATCAGTTTTGCCATGCATTCAGAGAAAAATTTTTTAGAGATATGCATAGTACAAATTATCTAAATTATAAATTATCTAAATGCATCTAAGTGAATTTCAAAGTGTACCTAAGCAGTGGTGCATCTATTTTCCACACACATACTTGCTAGAGCTGATAATATGTGGATGAAACTTTTCTGTATTGTTTTGTTTTGTTTTGATTTGCTTTGTTTTAACTCAGGCTGATCTACAGCAAAAGAAGGAGCCAGCTCAGGAAGATTCTGACCTCGACCGCAAAAGAAGAGAAACAGAAGCTTTGTTACAGAGCATTGGTATATCCCCAGAACCACCTTTAGGTATTTAAGAGAAGCACACTGTAAAGCATTCAGCTCTGCCACAATGAATGCATTCTTTCTCTTAAAGCATGCTTGGCTTTTTTGATTTTTGGCTGTAATAGTGAAGTGAACTCTTCTGTTTGAATGCCTGCCATACCATACACATATACCAGCTCATGGCATTTTTGAGTACTTGTCATTGCCTAAAACATCTGTTTCATTTCTTCAAGAAAATTTTGTGAACACAATGCAGATTGGGTTTGCAGACCAGCAGTGATTTCTTTTCTGATGGACTTTTTTATTTTCTATCACATTTATCTGATGACCCATAAAATAGTATTAATACATACTGCACTTCATTAATACCAAGTTTTGTTTCAAAAATTCAGATTAAGGATTTGCTAAGGAAGGAGTAACATAATCATGTGGGAATTCCCATTGATTTTCTTTTAAAATCAAGCAAAACTGGAGAGGTGAAATAAGACAAATCACAAATAACAAAAAGCTTATCATCAAATCATTATTGTAGATTTTAGCTCTGGTTTCATGTACTTAATCTGTTTTTTGGTTTTGATGTTTCATTTCTAGAATTTCAAGTTCTCAATTTATGTAGTTACCTTGATTAAGTTGTCTCACTTACTGGGTTGCCCTAAAGTGAGAAATTTCCTTCCTGCCTTCCTTCCCGTGCTTTGTTCTCCCTTCAAATCCAGAATCACTCTCACTGTATTAGGTAAAATATTGGCTTTTCTGGAGGTATCAAGCCTTGTCATTAAATTCACTGGGGGTGAATCTAGGATTTTACCCCGAGGTATTCCTGCCTCTAATATTTAGGAAGGACTCCAAATTTGACAAAATACTGAAGCCTTGATTCAGGAAAGCACCTTATACAAATGCTTGGGTGCATATACAAACAGATTGTGACATTCTGAATTGTGATTTCAATTAACAGCTTCAATAAACATTGAACATTTATTGAGAAAAGTTACTATTTTTATAAGTTATGATATAGTGACCGAAGCTTTTAAATACCACTTCTCAGGAGAATTTTCTGACAGTAATGGTTAGATTATTTTTATGTATTATAAAACATGGTTTTTAAATTTTATTGTGGTATTATAAAATCAGATACATTTTTAATGTTCTAGCATTTAAAGCTCATTTTTATCTGAAAATGAAGATGTATTTACTTATTAACTAAACACATATATTTGTGTTGCAAATTATAACTTCTTATCTTAGTTAATTATTTTGTGGTTGATACTGTCAAAACCACATGAAAATTCACCTGTAAGATGAATCATTTTAGTTAAGCAATAGTATTTTGTCCTCTTTAATTCCCTGTATATACACTCTCAATTAATATACAGAAGAGGCTTTAATTCTGCCTTCATACATGCATGTGATACCCAGATCCCACTCTGAATACGGAATACATAAACAGCTACAACGTACCTGTGACCTGCCAAAGGGCTGTCACAAAGGTGAATTCACTTTTCATGCTGCAGTCATTTCTGTGACAGTCTCTAGTGAGAATCTGCATGAAATGTTTGACCACATGGAAAATCCAAATCTCTTGACAGGTCTGTCATTATACATTATACAGCATAACAAAATAGTTTAAAGTTTTACTCTTAAATCTATAAAAGGAAATGCACATGATTTAAACCAAATGGGAAACTTCACTCTTGCATTAAAACCCCTTTTTGTGTTTTATTCAATGTGGCTGCTTTGAAGAATAGTTGATTAAATAGTGACTGGAGCCACCTTTGCATTTTTGAGAAACCATTTTAAAAGAAATCAGGATATTTTTCCTTTTTTATTTATTGTTTCCTTGCTGAAGAGCTTTAACATGGGCTGACCTTGAGCTATGAACTTACTTTCCTGTTTCAGGAAACAAAACTGCCTTTGCATGAAATATGCTTCAAAAGCCCTGGCAAGCCAAAGAGAAAATCATTTGTAGAGCTTGAGCAAATCATATCTAAAGGGAAACCTCCTTGAGTGTTGAAATCATGTCCCACCCAAAATGGAACCTTTATATGATCTAAACTACTTAAGAAAACACAATCACTAAGCAAACTAGTGTGTATTCTCACCGTTTTTGGGAAATGATTTTAACTTAGCTGGATTTCCTTATTTAGCTTTTATTTTTTATGTCGTTTCCACACTGCAGCCTTAGACCATATCTAATGGACACTGGCTTTTGGTTATATTCAAAATTCAGAAAGTGTGCTTGTTCTATTGCCTATCTGGCTTTACCAGAAGAGTTCACTTAGGTTTTTTACAAGCCCCTGGTATATCTTCATACCTTTAAAAACTTTTGCAAGCCAATTTTAAACTATACCCAAGAAAACAATTGCTATTTTATTTCCACAGGGAACTCCTCCATTGATTAGCTGTAGATTCCCACTGGGCTTTCAGTCCTGTCTAAATTCATGTCAATTTTAACACTTCCAAAAGACTTAAAATTCACTTGACTCTCTTCCTTTTCTTTTTCTTTCCTTCCTTATTTGCTTTCACCATTTCAAACTCTCCTACTCATTCATCCACTATCATTTTGGTCCATTGGTTTTGATTTGTCTGACACTGCTCTTCATCAGTGCAGTCGCTGCATGTGTTAACATGGGATACCTGTTATTTTCATTATTTAGTCCCAACCCCTATGTCTCCCTCTTCGAAATCAGTGAGCACACCCAGTGACGCAGGCAGCCAGGACTCAGGAGATCTGGGACCCATAGGAAGGTAAGACGCAGAGTCAATAGCGCTGAATAAATATGGGTTTTTTTTTTCACTTTGCTCTTACTTCTCCATTTTTACCTTTGCTTCTGTATATGAGAAGGTGCTGTATCTGATGGGTACTTTTGTTTCTTTATTTTCCACCGTATGTTACCATTCAGTAAGACTGCTCTCAGATGTGAGGTAAATAAATGCATGCAGCAAGTGGATCTTAAGCCACGAGCCCAAAACCTCATGTTGGAAGCAAGAGCTGAATCTATGCTTCTTAATGGCCTACAGAAAGCTGTAGTGGAAATCCTGTGTGGAAATACACTAAAACCGGGGCAAAGTGTGCAGTGGTAGCACCTGTACCTATGTGAGTTATCTTTGTTCATATAATCTGTCCCCTTTGAAGCCCTCCCAAGTATAATGCCTTGGGTTCTTGTGTTGTTGCTTATTGCAATTAGTGCCACAGAGCTTGTACAGAAACAGTCTGAAACAGCCTGGGACACACTGGCAATTCTGCCTTGGAAATTGTGGCTATCAGAGAGTTTAATGGAGAATGCAAGGGAAGCAGCTCTCTTGTTGGAAAGGGGTGGTGTGGAGTGTATAAGGCATGGACACAAGAGCAACCTTCTTGCCTCTGTTTGTATGGCTGAAATAGGAAATGAAGTGGCCAAAATAATTTCTGCTCTGGAGCAGAAAAGAAAGGATGCTGCTGCTGGTAAAGGAGCGTATGTTCAAGTAAGAAGAGGTGCAACAAACTTTAATGTATATTTTGAGAAATGTAACATATTGTTCCTATGAGCTCTTTATGTATCAAACTGATTCAACATAAAGCTGAGCAGCCAGTGCATCCAAATCTGCGAGCCAGGGCTCTGCTAATGGCTTGAAAATACACTGATTGCTCTTTGCAGTTAACAGTGCTCAGGAGTAGACACCATGCCTCTACAGACATGAACAGTAATGTGACAGAGCTCTGGGTCACCAGATATTGTACCACACCAGCCTTCTGTTTAGAAAAATCGCATTTCTGTAATTTGAAAGTGTATTGTGTCCCCCTTCAGCCAGATGCAGACACCATCCGTTGTGGTGTGGAGGTTGCACAGCTGCTGCTGAAATCTCCTCAGCCCTTCTCCCAGGTCTACCCTCTAGAAGAAATGGGTTGCTAAGTAGAAAAGCCCCAGCCTGTCAGATGTAGCAGTTCAAAACACAGAAAGTAGTGTAATGTAATGCTACTTTCATAAATAAATGCAGTAGATTTCAGCAAATCAAAGTACTTTGAGCAAATAAAAATTGGTTTTAAGCAAAGTACAGGCTGCTGTTCACTTTAAAGTTATTTCCCACAGCCCTACATGAAGCTATGACAACACTGGCTGAAGACTTCTAAATACCTGGTTTTCTTCTGAACTTTAATGGTATAACTTCTTTACTGTTAAGGTAGTGAAATGCTCTTTAAGGATTCATTTTGCTGGGACATACACTCACACTTTGACTCTCTGTCGATAACAAGCAATGAAAGCACATAACCATGTGTCCTCTTCAAAGGACTCATTAGGAGGAGAATTAGTTTGTCCTATTCAAAGCTCACGATGTACTGCATTGTGGGCTTTTGATTTAGATCCATTTTCTGGCTAGTTGTGGCCGTACTATGAATTCAGTGGGAATCCCAAGACCTTGTTTGTAGTCCACCAGTTTGCTTGCCATCCTCTCTGGTGTTGAAAGGGCCATGCTGTGTGCCAGGAAGGCCTCTTGCAGATGTTTGCCTGGAGCAATTGGCTTGTGGTAATTCAACAATGTCTGGTCCAGGCCTTGGTGAATCTGTAACCTGAGGATAATATTGGATGGCAATTAGTTGGGTTAGTTTGCCACACAGTGCAGGAAGATGCTCTCAGTGCGTGTTTGTGTGAATGAGTGCACTCAAGCATACATGTATGATAGAGCAATCAAACTTGGTGAGGATGTTGGTAGACCTGTCATCACAGTGAAAAACAGGAGGAAACCACCTCAGCTGTTTTCTCAGAGATGCCTAGACCATACTTCTGACTTATTTAGACTACAGCATGTGTGAATGCCTGTTTGTCTCTTAACAGCAAGGTTATTCTGCTTCATTTTAACGTATCCTTCCATTTCATTCTCTATGATAGAAGGCATTTTTGATGGATCCCTTGTCATGCCATCATGCTTGAAAGATCTTTCCCTTTTCCTCATTCTGCTACAGATTTGCTGTACGACAGTAGACTCTGCACAGGCATTAGAGGAGAGCAGATTAGTTCCAAAGCTGCTAATGCCCCCATCTCAGAGATCACAGCTCGTCTGTTGTTATTGCTGCTAACACTGCTGCAGAAATAACGAGCTCGTACAGCCTGGCAGAAATCCTGCATGCAGTCTGATTATTCATTGCTAACGTGTTCTCCAGGGGAAGATGAGGATATTAAAAGAAAAAAAACTGTGAAATCATAGATTTTCGTTCCCTGCAGGAGGGACCCTGTTGAAAGCTTCCAAGAAAGCAAGAGATCTTTTGTCCTGGGTTCAGCTACAGCAGTCATTTTTTCTCCTTCTTAGTAGCTGGTGCAGTGCTGTGTTTTTGACTTTCAGTCTGGGAACAATGCTGATAACACCGATGTTTTTAGTTGTTGCTAAGTAATGTTTACTCTGACCAAGGACTTTCTCAGTCTCATGCTTTGCCAGAGAGGAGGGGAAGCCAGGAGGAAGCAGAGACAGGACACCTGACCCAAACTGGCCAAAGGGGTATTCCATACCACAGCACGTCATGCCCAGTATAGAAACTGGGGGGAGTTACACGGAAGGCCCAGATCGCTGCTCGGGTCGGGCTGGGTATCGGTCGGCGGGGGGGGAGCGGTTGTGTCCTTTTCCCTTGTTATTCCTCTTATCATTATTATTGGTAGCAGTAGTGATTTGTATTATACCTTAGTTACTGGAGAGCTGTTATCTCAACTCGTGGGAGTTACATTCCTCCAATTCTCCTCCCCATCCCTCCGGGAGCGGGGGGAGGAAGGAAAAGGGGGGGAGTGAGCGAGCGGCTGCGTGGTTCCAAGTTGCCGGCTGGGCTTGAACCACGACATCTTTGTACATTCCTATTTGAGGCAGCAGTTTCTGGTGCAGAAATAGGTTGGGTTGATAATTCTGAGAGTTGTTGGCACTTCTGATAGTTGTCAGACTTAATCTATTTGCCCCAATGTCACAAAGTATATCTATCTGAGGCATGTTTTGATTGGCAGGCTCCTATGATTCCTTACTGAAGAGTTAGTGTAGTTTATCCAGAAATCAGGTTTCTGACATCCACTTTTCAGGAAGGACAACTGATAAATTAGAGAGATTGGACAGCGTTAAGGAGCTCTCATCCTGGAACCGCAGACCTCACTCAATCTTTCTTTACAAGATGAAAACTAACTGGTAACTTGCTCACCAAGGGTAATAGTTACATGGGGAGCAAAAGGGCTCCAGCAGGCAATGTGTAAGAGCAGCAAAGTGTTCATCATTGAAGCTGGACAAATATAAACATAGAAATTTTAATGGGGAGACAAATAAAACACTAAGGCATTTTACCTGAAGACTCTATTGGATCTTCTGTCACTGTACATTGCTCATTCAGGATAATGTGCCTGCCCAACAGACAGATAATAGGTCAAACAACAATTCATTCAGAAAAATCATAGTGCTTTTTTGTCGCACAGGAAGAAAAGCTGCATGGTCACAATGGTCCCTTCTGCTGTATGATCTACAGACTAGTAGTGCTGCTATCCTGCAGGACCATTGTCCATTATCTCCAGCTCAATAGCTAGGACAACATTGTTCTTTCCCTGATGCCATTAAACTTACTAGGAGAAGGTACGGGGCCAGCTGTATAATGGCACTAAATTATGGAACCATTTCCATCCTTGCAGCCCAGGTTTCCATGAGGGTTTTTTTGTTGCTTGATCTTTAGTAGCACACTGCTATTTGTCATAGCCTTTTCACAAGGGATAATGCTAGGTTTCAGGAGCATTCAAGCTTCCCTCTGAGCCATAACAGCAACTGTAAGAATGAGCAGATGTTAGATGAGTAACTGTGCAAGAAAATACTGTCAGTTTTCTTTGAATGCTTTCAGTTAGACAAGGGAGCCAACTTTTTTTTTTTTTTTTTTTGTGGTGGTTTTGGGGATCAATTCTGGGTAAGCAGAGGAGTGTTAGACTTGCTGGTAATTTTACCATAACTGTGTGCGCAAGGAATAGGTTTGGTATATGCTGCTCTTAGCTATCAGCAGGCTGCTCTGAATGAATTAGAGCCCTGTTGTTGCACATGGAGCAATTTGCCTGTCTCCACATTGCTTTGCACATCCCACTTCACTTTTTGATAGCAGTGTTGCTTGTGCTATACAGATAGGACAGGAAAATTACATCACAGGCTAAACTGATACCTATCTCTGGATATGGGTTATTGGTTCACAGGGTTTTCTGTTATGATGTGTTCAGACATGGCTCGTTTTCCACAAGACAATGTTACAGGATCCCATGAAGATTCTCCTTAGAATAGAGTACACTTGGCTCTTTGAGCATCAGTATTTTGTTTTGTTTAGTATTTTGTACGCATTTTGCTGATGCCCAGTGGCCTGTTGCTGATGATCAGCTGATACGGATGTGCACAACTGAAATGTAGATTCCAGCTAACTACATTTGAGTAAATGTTGTGATGAAAGGGGCTGAGGTAAAGGCATTTGCTGAGAGTTCCTGTGCCGTAGCATTGTGTGAAAGAGAAATTTGCCTCTTTGGGGCTATTAATATGCAGCTTCTTCCTGACAACTGTATGCATCACAGCCCTCCCTAGCAGACACTCTGAATTTTTGCTACCTTAGAGTGCCGGAGAGGATGTATTATTATAGTAGAACTACTATGAAACAAGGCCCATGGAGAGGCATGTTTTACTACTCAGTATACCTTAGACATTCATAAATCACATCTTCTCAGCACTCACAGCCATGAACTGCGTATTTGTGTCCTCTGAGGGAGTACACAAGGACAAAACTT